GTATTTTTATTACTCAATTTTAAATTTAAAGCAAATAATTGCAAAAAAATACATTATGAGTATTTTTTGTTTTAGTATGTCGAAATTATAAAGGGACATTTGTTATTTCAATTGATTTGTGAACTGATCCGTTTTTTTTCGTAATGTTTCCTACCCGTCCTCCTGTAAGTTTTATTTTACACATTGCAGTTCGAATAATTTTGTGCTGATTTTCTTGTTCACTAATAACGATAATTTCATAAAGGCGCCCTCGGGGCCAGGACCATCTTACAAATTTACGGTTGTGGAAACATGCGACCGAATTAAAGAAGAATTTAACTACGTGCAGCAACAGTGTCACTCGTAAGCCGTTCACTTTATTAACCTTTTTCAAGTCTTCAACTCGAACGGGAGAAATTGTTGAGTGAGAGGGTGGATATGCAAAGAATATGTGTGGTGTATTACGAAATGGCGAATGGCTTAAACCTTGAGATGCACCGACAGGTTAGCTTTTCCGCTGGTTTGATCTCGCTCTCTAGATGGAAATTGCTAAAAGATTGAACGCTATCCTTACTCAAGTGATTCCGTTCCTTTCACAGGAGGTAACTTAAATTTCCACATATGTTCTGTATAGCATCAGTCCCAAGTTTCTTCTGCAATCGAGCGTGCTAAACAAGTTACCATGCAAGAACTAAACTCAGTTTTGGCGGTTTGAAGTCTTTTTCTCCTATTTTCTTTAGGCTCAAATGGAAGATACTAAAGTGACGAAATTTTCCAATGGTAGCAATATGGGCCTTTCTAATGACCAGCTCGAAATTTACAAGGTTTCTTCTAGTCAGTTTTATCGGCAATATGTTGTTTAGCAAATCCAAGTTCACCAAATGTCTTCTGGTGGAAGCCCTGGAGCATCAATGCCGGGCTCTTCTGGACAGGGTACATCTCATAGCACGCCTCTTGGTGGAAACCTTACTGGGAGTGCTAGCTTTGGTCCTCATAGCGGGTCATCTGCCTCTGGAATGCTTCCCTCTAGCACACCGTCTATATCAGCTGCACTCCTTAATGGTCTTATGTCAGCTCATGTTGGTGCTGGGGGTGTTATGATGCCTCCACCCGGTTCCGCAGGTTTACCTTTGACTGGCGCACCAGGAGGGCCAACAACATGTGCACGCGATTCCGAGAAATTTTCCTCAGATGATAAACAGGTACGTTGCATGCTATTTGCAGTCAGTGATATCGTACGAATATGTTTTGACAACCTGCTTTACATCTCATCTAATTAGGCTTACTTCATTTGTGGCGTCGGATGAACAATTTATCCTATCAGTTCACTGTTCCCACTAGTTATCATTTCGGATACCTTTGTATTTTGTTGTGTCTAGGGCTTTTTATGCTGTTCTCAGCTGCTGAATTAGTAAATTTTGCGAAGTTCAATGCAGTAAGTCAAATTATCATCTCAATCAGCCATTTCAATCATTTTATACGTTTTCATAGCTCTTATATCCACTAGCCTAGCTATTTAGAAGTAAACTTCGTAACTGGACTTCTGCCCTCTTACCTGAGATTCCCCAATAGAACTTGTGGGTTGTTCCTTTGTGGCCTCAGTTTATAGAGGCACAGTCAAATAATTTTCGCCTTACCGACATTGAAGACATCGCATACCCGTTGAAGATCGTTATTGTTGCACTTGTAAAGCTCGTGTTCTATCAAGCAACTCAACAGAATTTTAGGTTACGTCCAAAATTCTGTATTATATTACCCAGTAGTTTCTCTAAATAAGTTTCCGTCAC